GGACTCCATCCTGGGTGACAGAGCAAGACCCTGTCTCAAAAACAAACAAACAAAAACAACAACAACAAAAAACCCCGATAATGCCTAAGTGGCAAGTAGGGATGAGGAAAAAGTTGTTTCAAGTACAGGGTGAAGAAGGTACAAAAGAATATAATAGGAAAGGAGAAAGTACTTGAGAAGGCAGTAATACTTAAGTATGGCCAAATAGGAGTAGGTGATAGGAAGGAAGAAGTGATATGAGGAGGTAAGCAGGAGTCAGAAGAAGAGCCTTTCCTAATACACAAAAGAATCAAAATTTTGAATTGAGGTTCTTCCCACCACCTTCTTCAGCCCTACTAATTCCTATTAGAATACTCAGGTGTCACCTACTACAGGAAGCCTTCCCTGACTTCATGTCCACAAGCCAGGGTTAGATGTTGCCTCTGTTCTACTGGAGCCCTCTCTTTCCCTTAGTTTTTTTTATTTTTTAAAAAATAATTAATTAATTAATTAATTAATTTTTTTTGCAGGCAGCCCCCAAACCAGAATAGGTTTGGAGAGTTTTCCTCCTTTACTTCTTTAAATGATAATTGTCTATTTATGCGTCTGTCTTCTACACCAAAAGCCATAAGAGGGCAGAGAATGTGTTTTAAAGTTCTATATTACCAGCTTAGCAGAGTATTTGGCACATCATAAGTGCTCAATAGATTTTTTTTAAATCAATGAATAGATAAACAGGACTCCCAGGGAAGGAGAAAAAACTGTAACTTAGTAAAGCTCCTGGCACAAAACTGGCACTGACAAAATTCTTTTATCTTTTTGTGCCTTCACTTTCTCATCTGGAAAATGGGGACAAAAAAAACTATCTCAAAGTAGTTTCATGGATCTATAAATTACTTAATCCAGGGTCTGACACTTAGTGTCAGGGATAATTATCAGCATGTTAAAAATGTAATTATTGGCCAGGCGCAGTGGCTCACTCCTGTAAATCTCAGCACTTTGGGAGGCTGAAGTGGGTGGATCACTTGAGGTCAGGAGTTCGAGACCAGTCTGGCCAACATGATGAAACCCCATCTCTACTAAAAATACAAAAATTAGCTGGGAATGGTGGTGGGTGCCTGTATTCCCAGCTACTTGGGAGGCTGAGGCAAAAGAATCATTTGAACCTGGGAGGCAGTAAGCCAAGATCACACCACTGCACTCCAGCCTGGGCAACAGAGTGAGACTCTGTCTCAAAAAAAAACCAAAACCAAAACCAAAAAAACCTCCACAATTCTCATTGAAATAGACAGTGAGCATGGGTCAGAGTTTCATTTAACTCATTAATGAGGGGACTAGCAGGATGACAAAGCCAGTTCAAAACAGAATATAAGAACTAGAGTTTGGGCTGGGCACAGTGGGATTACACCTGTAATCCCAGCACTTTGGGAGGCCAAGGTGGGTGGATTGCTTAGCCAGGAGTTCCAGACCAGCCTGCACAACATGGCAAAACCCTGTCTATATGAAAAGATACAAAAATTAGCTGGGCATGGTGGCACATGCATGTAGTCCCAGCTACTTGAGGGACCGAGGCAAGATCACTTGAGCCTGGGATGTGGGAGGTCAAGACTGTAGTGAGCCGTGTTCGAACCACTGCACTCCAGCCTGGGCAACAATGTGAGACCCTGTCTCAAAAGAAAGAAAAAAGAACTGGAATTTTTATAGTCAATGGAAAAGAAAAATATTGAAGTAAGATTGGTAAATTAAATACTAAATGGGTTAATGTCCTACAGAGTAGTAGTATCATAACCTTTGGGATTATCTTCTCTACTACACAGGAAAGGAAAGTGTTACATCTTATTACTTTATAGAATTGTACAATGTCTGGGCCCTAATTAATTATGTAAATAGTGTCACATTTCTCTTCAGGGATAGATGATAAGTAGACTTGCTAGTCAATGCTTTATCATGACAGCAAAAAGTCACACAATCATCTTTTTTTTTTTTTTTTTTTTTTTTTTTTGAAGGAGTCTCGCTCTGTCGCCCAGGCTGGAGTGCAGTGGCCAGATCTCAGCTCACTGCAAGCTCTGCCTCCCAGGTTTACGCCATTCTCCTGCCTCAGCCTCCCAAGTAGCTGGGACTACAGGTGCCCGCCACCTCGCCCGGCTAGTTTTTTGTATTTTTTAGTAGAGACGGGGTTTCACCGTGTTAGCCAGGATGGTCTCGATCTCCTGACCTCGTGATCCGCCCGTCTCGGCCTCCCAAAGTGCTGGGATTACAGGCTTGAGCCACCGCGCCTGGCCACATGATCATCTTTTTACCTTAGTAACATGTTTCAGATAATTTTTCTTAACACTAGTAAGTTTAATTCAGTAGACACTAACCATTATAAGGCTCTCAATAAATGTTTGCTGAGGGGATTTTCAATCTATTAGGCTTCTTCTTTCCCTCTAGTTTCCTTCTTCCTGACCTGGCACAATTGATTAGCAGCAGAGTTAGGGGGCTATGGGGCAGGTAGGCTAATAGGGGGAATTCTGTGGGACACAGATCCTCTTCTCTCCCTTAGCCTGGTGTGGTAGGGCTAGTTTTGTATCATCAAATAGGCAGAGAAAGTGTCCGCTTTGGATATCAGCAAAGAAAGCACCCTTTTCCCATCTACCAACCACCCCTTTCCCCGCCAGCAAATAAGAATATATTTTCTGTGAAAGAATTGGGTATTTCTTTTTCTTTTCTTTTCTTTCTTCTTCTTTTTTTTTTTTTTGAGACATAGTCTTGCTCTGTCGCCCTGGCTGGAGTGCAGTGGCATGATCTCGGCTCACTGCAACCTCCACCTCCCAGGTTCTAGCAATTCTCATGCCTCAGCCTCCCGAGTAGCTGAGATTACAGGCGTTCGCCAACACACCCAGCTAATTTTTGTATTTTTAGAAGAGAAGGGGTTTGTCGGCCAGGCTGCTCTTGAACTCCTGACCTCAGGTGATCTGCCCACCTCGGCCTCCCAAAGTGCTGGGATTACAGGCGTGAACCACTGCACTCTGCCAGAATTGTGTATTTCAAAAGGGCAGCAGACATAATAATAATAATAATAATAATAATAATAAATAATTTTGTTGTATCACATTCCATTTATTCCATTCCATTTAGGCTGAGGTGGGAGGGTGATCCTCCCTCCTCAGCCTCCTGAGTAGCTTTGATTAGGGACACATGCCACTACACCCTGCTAATTTTTTTTTCTTTTTTTTTGTAGTGACAGGGTTTTGCCATGTTGCCCAAGCTGGTCTCAAATTCCTGGGCTCAAGCAATCTGCCCACCTCAGCCTCCCAAAGTGTTGGAATTATAGGCTTGAGCCACTGTGCCCAGCCTCACTTTTTAATTTTTAAGAAATTGTGACAAAATACATGTGATACAACTTACCATCTTAACCATTTTGAAGTGCACAATTCCGTGGCAGATTTAGCTACAGGTCTGAGTTCACTTCCAACATAAGCATAATAAAAACATGGTCTGAGGCCAGGTGTGGTGGCTCATGCCTGTAATCTCTACACTTTGGGAGACCAAGGCGGTAGGATTGCTTGAGCCCAGGAGTTCAAGACTGGCCTGGGCAATACAGCGAGACTTTGTCTCTACAAAAAATTAAAAATTAACTGGGCATAGTGTCACGTATCTGTGGTCCCAGCTGATTGGGAGGCTGAGGTGGAAAGATCACTTGAGCCTGGGAGGTCGAAGCTGAAGTGAGTGGTGATCATGCCTAGGTAACCGAGTGAGACCCTATCTCAAAAAGAATAAAAATAAATTGAGAATAAAAGCATAAGGCCAGGCACGGTGGCTCATGCCTGTCATCTCAACACTTTGGGAGGCCGAGGTGGGTGGATCACCTGAGGTCAGGAGTTTGAGACCAGGCTGGCCAACATGGTGAAACGCTGTCTCTACCAAAAATATAAAAATTAGCCAGGTATGGTGACGCATGCCTGTAATCCCAGCTACTCGGGAGGCTGAGGCAGGAGAATCACTTGAACCCGGGAGGCAGAGGTTGCGGTGAGCTGAGATCACGCCACTGCACTCTAGCCTGGGTGACAAAAGCAAAACTCTCATCTCAAAAAGAAAAAAAAAAAAAAAATAGCGAGGTCTGGGACTCTAACCAGGGAGTCATTGATCTAAATGTTTAGACATGCTGCACACAGAAGTTCAAGCATTTCTACAAAGCAACAGATGGGAAATTTCCAAGGGATAAACTTATTTTTTGGCAAGTCAAAAGTATGTAGTATGCAACCCCGGCTTTGGGAGTTGGGAGAACCAAATGACCTTCAGATGCTGGAAAAATGATTCTCCCCTGCTGAAAGAGGTCAAGTGTATTTGGCCAAAGGGGATCTAAAATGCCTTGGCTTCCAACTTCAGGGAATTGAGCTTTTCCCTCTAATTTTCCAGCAAAAGGGAAGGAAATGTTGACCCTAAAACCACATGAAGCTGAAGCTAGAGGCCTCTGTAGCAGTTCACCAGATCTCCATTGTTAAATTCTATATTGGCCTTTTATTTATATATTTGTCATTATTTTCATTAATGCGTTAGAGTATAGGCTGTTTGGATCCAAACCTTGACTCTTCTACTTACTCGGTATGAGACATTGATTAAGTTGCTAAATCTCCCTTCAGTTCTTAGAATCTGTGCTTCAGGTTTTTGGTTTATAAAATGGTGATAATGACACTTTCTCAGAGGGTTGTGGTAAGGATTAATGGTTGATGGATGTAAAGTACAAAGAACATATTAATTGCTATGTAAATGTTAGCTATTATCAATACATGTGACAATTTTTCCTTCTCCGTCTTCTTGTCCCCCTCCCCATCCCCCTCCTTTCTTATTTTGTTGGCAAATAGTCAGATTCCGTTTGGGATGCTGTCGCACTGTTTTATTCTGCTTCATGGATGTTTCTCGGGGGGAAATTTCTGCAGTTGATGTGTGTTGAATTCTGTTTTCTGATTTTTTGCAATAACTCTGTATGGATCTGTTAATATTTTCCTTGTGCTGATAGTCACTCTTTCATCTTCCAGATATGGAAACTGAGTCCCCAAAAGGGAAAATGACTTGCCCGAGATCACACAGAGATAGTGGATAAACAAGTAACAAGACCAAGAGTTTCTGACGACCAGTCAAAGTCTTGTTCCACTGAACATTGTCCAAGGACATTGGCCTCAGATACTGATGTCATCTGAGCTCCCTCCAAACTCTATTCACCCACAGGGAAGACTTGAACACCCTATGATTCCAAGTATTCTCCAATTGACATCTTCCCCTTCTAACAAAATTGCAAGCACTTCAAGGGAAAGGCCTATGACTTGATTATTTTGGAATCTTAGTTATATGCTCAGCACTGTGCCTCAGACTTTTGAGGGTAGGAACTATTGCCTATAACGCCTTGGATGACTAAGGGCAGATGCTCAGTAAATGGAACCAGTTGCTCTGCTTTAAAAAAAGGAAGAGTTGGGAAGGCAGGGAAGAGAATTAATATGTATCAAGAACTTAATATATACCAGTCATTGTGCTGAGAATTTTCACTTTCATTATCTCATTTAATTCCCAGAATTCCTTTATGGCATCATCAATTTCTGTATTTTACAATAGGAAATTGAGGCTCAGAGAGGTAGGCAACTTACCCTGAGTCTCTTCACAAGTAAATGCTCAAGTGTGACATTTCACTGGTGGGTCATAACCTTCTGGAATCCAATATTATAAACACAGAGTGAGAGGAAGAAGAGTTCTGATACTTTCCAGAGGGTAAAACAAGTTTTTTATTCTCATTAGAGAACTATGAAATTAGTCACATGAATTGTGAAAACCTAAGTCATGGTTTTATTTGTTCAGTGACAGTGTGGAAAATGACATCAAGCTAGAAAAAGAATATAAAGGAAAATTGTGAGTGTTTCAGTCTTGCTCATAAAGAGAGACCTATCGTTACCAAATCCAGGCAACCTGAACCCACCCTTCCTGCAAAAGTTTTATCTACACTAGAATTTTGAATGGGAGACAAAAAAAATAAGCTATAGGATTTATAATATGGAGAAGGTGAGTTTCATAACAGGGCAAGGCCCAGGTCTGAAAAATATTTAGTTCCTGTGCTAGACTGGAAACAGCCCCCTAAAGTCCAGGTCCTAATCTCTGGAAACTGTAAATGTTTCTCTATTTGGAAAAGGGGTGTTTCTTTTTTCTTTTTTTTTTCCAGACGTGATTAAGTTAAAAATCTTGGAATGGGAGTTTTATCCTGTATTATCTGGGGGTGGGGGGGATGGGGGGGTGCTAAATGCAATTATAAACGTCCTTATAAGAGAAAAGCAGAAGAAGATGTGACACATCCACAGAGAAGGATATATGAAGACACGGGCAGATACTAGAGTGATACAACCATAAGCCAAGGAATGCGAGCATTCAGGAGAATCTAGAGAGGCAAGGGACGGATTCTCCCCTAGAGACTTTGGAGTGGGTGTGGCCCTGTCAAGAACTTAATTTTAGCCTAGTGAAATTGATTTCAGGCTCCTGACCTCCCAAACTGCAAGAGAATAAATTTCTGTTGCTTTAAGCCACTTGGTTTGTGGTAATTGGTTGGAAGAATCACAGGAAACGAATACAGTGCTCCTGTGTTGTTATCCAGGTTTCAGCTTACTGTCGTCTCCTTTCCCTTCCATCTGGAAGCCCCAAGAAGAGTTTCTAAAAACATCCTAGGCTGGGTGCGGTGGCTCACGCCTGTAATCCCAACACTTTGGGAGGCCGAGGTGGGGTGGATCACCTGAGATCAGGAGTTCAAGACCAGCCTTGCCAACATGGCGAAACCCTGTCTCTACTAAAAATATAAAAATTAGCTGGGTGCAGTGGCAGGCGCCTGTAATCCCAGCTACTCCGGAAGCTGAGGCAGGAGAATCGCTTGAACCCAGAAGGCAGAGGTTGCAGCGAGCTGAGATCACACCATTGCACTCCAGCCTGGGCGACAAGAATGAAACTCCATCTCAAAAAATAAATAAATAAAAAATAAAAACATCCTAATATTTACTGAGTGTCTCTTCTGCCAGACACGATGCCAGGTGCTTTACATGCAATAGCTCACCAAATCCTCACAATCCTATTAAGTAGGTACTAATACTATTCCTATTATACAGATGAGATAACTGAGGCTCAGAGAAAAACTGGCAGGGTCATATCCTAACAGGTGATGAAGCTAGTACTCCAACTCAGGTCTGCCCAAATATAAAGCCCATACTTTTAGCCTCTAGGCTATATCACCTCAATCTCTCTGGGTTGTCAGGGATTTAATTCTATCAATGGATGGCATTTTGAGACACTTACTTGGGGGATGTTTTCAGGGATAGATGTGGGACCAAAGGAGACCAAGCCTGGCTGCACTCCGGCTCAACAAACTGAGCTACCACTTCCATGTGCCTTTTTCAGCAAATAGGAGATAGCCAATCCTAGAATCATAGAAAGCTAGACCGAAAATGATCTCAAAGATCCATTTGTTCAAACACCTCATTATTTATAGACAAGGATGCTAGCCCCAGAGGAGAGGGTCACATACACAGGTTATAGATGAGTGACAGAGTTGTAATTAACTGGAGCCTAGATCTGACTTCAAATTCAGGGTTGGTTCTACTGCATGTCACACTGACCACAGTCATGGGTGTTGCTGTGGTCTAAGGTGCTGACCAAACTTGAGAAACTTGGGAATAAGGGAAATGGAGAAATGGATCACAAACCTCCTGAAAGCTATAGTGCTCCAGAGTAGTCATTCTTTTTTCTTTCTTTTATTTTTTTTTGAGATGGAGTTTTGCTCTTTTGCCCAGGCTGGAGTGCAGTGGTGAGATCCTGGCACACTGCAACCTCTGCCTTCCAGTTTCAAGCGATTCTCCTGCCTCAGCCTCCCCAGTAGCTGGGATTACAGGCACCCACCACCACGCCTGGCTAATTTTCGTATTTTTAGTAAAGACGGGGTTTCACCATGTTGGCCAGGCTGGTTTCGATCTCTTAACCTTAGGTGATCCACCCGCCTCAACCTCCCAAAGTGCTGGGATTACAGGCTTTGGGCCACCGCGCCTGACCAAGGTATTCATTCTTACCTAAGACATTCTACAGGGCTGATAGGGGTAAGCTTCCGGTTTGAGATGGAGACTGAAGGGACCGTGATTGTGTAACCACATCCCAAAGTGGAAGGAAAGAAATGTCATGAATTTCTAGAACTGAAGGGATTTCAGGAAACCTCAAGAGTGACAGCATCAGAAAATGCAAGAGATAAAAAAAAAAAAAAAAGTGGAAGTTTTGGACAAATAAATGTGAGTTGTATCTTATACAATCAACAAGTAACTGGTTTGGGAAGCTTAATATCCCTAAATAGCGGAGCAGACCACCCCTCATATTATCTTATGCCCAATTTCTGCCTCAAATAAAAAGTAGGAGTTAAAGACAGAAGTTAAATCAGTAGTCAGACAGCCCAGCGCTGCATTCCAGGCCTGGTAATTAAAGATCCAGCCCTGAACTAACCGGTTATATTATCTATAGATTCCAGACATTGTATGGAAAAGCATTGTAAAAATCCCTGTCCTGTTCTGTTCCCTTCTGATTACCGGTGCATGCAGCCCCTAGGCACATACCCACTGCTTCCTCAATCAATCACGACCCTCTCAGGCGGACCCTCTTAGAGTTGTAAGCTCTTAAAAGAGACAGGAATTGCTCACTCGGGGAGCTCGGTTTTTGAGACTTGAGTCAGCCCACGCTCCCAGCCGATTAAAGCTCCTTCCTTCTTTAACCCGGCGTCTGAGGAGTTTTGTCTGCGGCTCCTTCTGCTACATAATAATGGTAGAGGCTGAACATTTCTCATGTTTACCCAGCCTTCATGCTTAATAAGGTTGTTGAAACAAATATGATAGAATGCATTTTAAATGCTCCGTACAGTACTAGTACACAATAAGTGCTCAATGCACGCTAGCTGTTATTATTAAAACACTAATTAATAACAGTAGTAACAACAGCCACTGTCTTTAAGACACGTTGATCAGTGTTTCCGAAACCGTATATCCCAAGTTGCTCTTCGGCCACGTTTCGCTGCCCATTGCATTCCGGGGCTTGTAGTCCGGAAGTGAGAGGCTGATTTCTTAGCGCGCAGGCGCAGTGGCGCGGGTCCCCGGAAGAACCCGCAGCAGCTCCCAGGATGAGCTGGTTGCAGTGGCTGCTGTTGCGGCGGCGGCGCTGAGAGGACACGAGCTCTATGCCTTTCCGGCTGCTCATCTCGCTCGGCCTCCTGTGCGCGCTGCTGCCTCTGCACCATGGTGCGCCAGGTCCCGACGGCTCCGCGCCAGATCCCGCCCACTACAGGTGAAGGAGGCCAGGTTCCCGCCCTTTCGCAATTGGGGAATGGGATGCGCGAACCGGGTCCCTTCCCTTTCTGTCCATCCCAGGTCTCCTACCCCGACTTGCTCGGACCCCGCCGCTAGGTCCCAGGCAGAAATCAGCTAGTGATTCCCACTTTCCGCCCTGTATCTTGTTCTTCCCCTGCTTGTTTTTGTGTTCTGGCCCCATGCCTGATTTCTCGTCCCACGCCCAGGGAGCGAGTCAAGGCCATGTTCTACCACGCCTACGACAGCTACCTGGAGAATGCCTTTCCCTTCGATGAGCTACGACCTCTCACCTGTGACGGGCACGACACCTGGGGCAGGTAGTGCGAGCGGAGGGGCAAGGGGCGGCCAGGGTCTGACTCTCCGGGCCTAGGCGGGCGGGTCAACTGGGGCTGCTGGCTTCATGGTCTCCTCACCGGCACCGGAAAGCCCCCAGATGAGCTACAACCGCGCTCCCTCCAATTCTTGCTATCACCTCCAGGATCCATTTAGCCTCTCTCAGTGAAAAAAAAGTCCTGGATTAGCCGGGTGGGCTGGATCACTGGGCTCAGCGCCAGCAGTAACAGGCACCAGCTGTGGGGACATAGGCAATTTCTGGAGTAACAAGAAACCGTGGAAGGGCTCCAAGAATTAGAAAACCCAACCCTTTCATTGTGCAGGTGGGCATTCAGGTCGAGGAAGGAGTGTGACACTCCTAAAACTTAACTGTTTGTAGTTGGTGTTCCCTGTGCCTGAAATACACTCTCCCGGTTTTCCTCCCATAACTGGCTGCTGCTTGTCATTCAGATCTCAGCTCAGTAGTCACCTCCTCAGCATCCGCTTCCCTAACGACCCAAGACTCCCTTTTAAGTCACTCTCACAAGTTACCTGTTTTATTTTCTTTGTAGCACTTCTCTTTGATACTCTCATTTTCACTTATCTACTGGTTTGTCTTTCTCCTTCCCACTAGAATAAAAATCTATGAGAGCTGGAATTCACTGGCTTATTCCTTGCTGAGTGAAGAATCATTGCATTAGCTGAAGCTGGCATTGATTGAACACTGTGCTAAACATTTTACTGTGTCATCTCCTTTAATTATCTTAATACCCCATACGAGTTAGGTGTCATTATCCCTGTTTTACACACGAATGTGCTAAGGTCGAGAGAAATTAAACTCAAAACTTGTGATGGTTTTTATTTTTTTAAGTTGCAACAAAGTAAATACAAATGGCAAATTCAAGTGGTAAAAAATTATGTACAATAAATATCTCCCATACCCTAGAATTCCAACTATTAACTTTCCTTCGTATCTCTCCAGAAATATTCTTGGTTTGTGCCATTATACATATAGATGTGTATATGTGTATCTTTTTAAAATGAACTTCTTAAAGGCATAATTTACATATAATAAAGTATACTCTTTTTGTTTTTTGCGATGGAGTTTGTTGTTTCCCAGGCTGGCGTGCAATGGTGTGATCTTGGCTCACTGCAACCTCCGCCTCCTGGCTTCAAGCGATTCTCCTGCCTCAGCCTCCCAGGTAGTTGGGATTATAGGAGCCCACCACCACACCTGGATAATTTTTTTGTGGAGATGGGGTTTTGCCATTTGGCCAGGCTGGTCTTGAACTCCTGACCTAAGGTGATCCACCCACCTCGGCCTCCCAAAGTGCTGGGGGATTACAGGCATGAGCCACCATGCCTGGCCTACGCTCGTTTTAAGTGCGTAGTGACCACCATCACAGTCAAGATATGAAACACTTCTGTTATCTTAAAAAGCTCCCTTGTGACCCTTTATAGTTCATCCCTGCACCACCACTGACCCTAACAATTTCTGATCTGCTTTCTGTCAGTAAGTATGTCTTTTTGAAACACAGATGGAAACATACTAAACCACCCTGTCTTTTTCATTAAAAACAATTCGAATATCTTTCCATCAGCACATAGAAGTCTTGATGACAATCTTTTTGATAACTTCATAGTTTTGCACTGTTTATAACACAGTTTAATCACCCATTAATGGGCAGACAGTTGGGTTCTTTCCAGCCTCTTGCTGTTCTAAACAATACTGCCATGAACACTGTCAAATAGCTGTTCACTGTGGGGTAAATTCCTAGATGTGAAAATCGGTGAAAAGCCTGTGCTTTAAGCTACAATCGTATACTGCCTCCCAATGGTAGAGGAGAATGCCAGAATATAGGTGATGAATTTAATTACAATGGAGCTAC